TAAGTATATATAATTATTGGCTTGAAATTTATTATCATGCTTTGTATTTACATTACTAATTGGCACTTTAAAGATATCGGTTGTATTGAGATAAGCTCTGAAGAAGAAACTACAAGAGTTATAATTATAGAGTAAATATCAAGGTTTTAATACTTTCAGTATGATTAACCTAAGTTATTTTATTTATTTTATTATAGTCAAATACAGTAGAGCTATTGATATGTGTGGAAGGTGCAGCACTGGTCAAAAAATGTTAGCATCAATTATAATTAGATTGGTATTGGCAAAACATTTTGTATAAATTATGGTGTTTTCGTTCTTGATGAACTTATCACAAATCTTGATAAAGAGAATTTTGAAAATTTGGTGGCTAGCGCAGTGTTGAAAATCTGTTTTGAAATTTATGTTCTCATGAGAACATATTTATTTAATTTAGTGTTTTCAAAATTTTATTTATGTTCTTAACATTTAATTACTAAAATTATTAATATCCCTATTTTTGGAAATCATCAGACATTTGTTCTAATTTTTATCCCAACTCTTCTTGTATTTTATATTCATTCATTTTCCTTTGGATAAATTCGAAATTTCTATTTCTATCTGGAATTTTGCATTATACTTAGAGAACATGCTTTTTTAGCATTATGTTCTCAAATTTTTTTCATAGAGAATATATATACAATATCAAATGTTTTCAAATCTAAAAGGATGTTCCCATAATAACATGAGAACATATGATTTCCAATACTGGGCTGGCGTCGAGGGCAGTCAAACTTTCAGTTGATAGCTATTACTCATAATATAGTTGAATTTATCAATATGGTATCGATGTTATTAAAGACAAAAAGAAGGCTTTTAATTATTATTTGAAAGCAGCTAATTTAGGAGATTCAGATGCGATGAATAAGATTGGTCTTTGTTATAAATATGGATTTAGTGTAGAAATAAATAACAGAAAGCATTTGAATATTATAAGAGATCTGCTGATTTGGATAATATTTATACAATACATAACGTCAACTTTTCAAGAATAATAGAGAAGCTAATAAGTTTATCAAAGCTTTGAAGAGAAAGCAAGTATAATTTTACTTTTAAATAGTTATTACTGATCAAGTTTTTGTTCAGAAATACTAAGTTTTCTGGAATTCCTAATGGCATATTCATTCTAGGATTTATGGTAGATACAAAACTTTGTGACTATAGCATATAATCCGCTGTTGAATCAATATTACAAAGATTATTTTGTTGAAATAGTTCTATTTCAGTAAAATTTTGTCTGTCATATGGAAAATATGCCATGGTATTTAAAGTTGTTGAAGTAGGTTGTTTATTATCTAATTCACTGAATGATTTATTAAATAATTCACTGAATAAAATAGAACTTTATTCTTATTAGAATCTTTTACGATCTTAATTACTACTTCTTCATATTACCCTAATTGATTTAAATATTTGGTTCTAAAAATTTTTTTTTTAATAATATAGATGATCTAATATACACGTATGCCTTCATATTTATACAGATATTTAACTTTGATATTGCAAATAGATATATATGTCATACTCTTTATTTGATTAAATCTTTATAGTTTGCGGCTTTAAGTTGTAATTCTTTAATACAATCATCAACATCCTTATTTCCACTTGTCCATCCTTGCGTTGTTTTCTGAAAGTTACACATCTGACACCAAGCTAGTGATGTATTATACTGATTGCAATTTGCACATTTTCCATTTTTACTCTTTCTTGCAGTATCAAATTCATCAAATACCAACATGTACTCATTTTTTGTAGTGTGTTGAGTTAGTCTATATACTTTAAGATTAATATTTCTTAATCACATTAATCATATAAGATCTTTAAACTTATAATAAATAGAATATGAAGAGGTGTGGCAACTTAGTGTAGTGGTCTAGTTGTTACCCTCTCCAAGTGGCAGGTCTAGAGTTCAAATCCCATGGACAACGAATTTTGAAAAATAGCCTGTGTTACGGTTTA